AACAGAAAACATGGGGGGGGGGTCACAATTCCGAGTTAGAAATGGGATCAACAACAATGACCAAAAAAATCAAATCATCCCAAACCAAACTGGGCGAGTCAGGGATAACAAAAAGTTGACCAACACAGAAAATGATCCTGAAAGTCCAAATGAAAATGCAATTTGGATTTCCACTTTAAAAGATCTGAGGTAAGTGGCATCCATCTCTGAATCCCTCCCTCCCCCCTCTGCCCCAAGGTGGCCCAGACAAACTGAAATAATTCTCAAGTTAAACATCCTAAGGAACAGTCATTTGATATATTTAGAAATCCCTAGAAAGAGAAGTTCTTGTTTGTTGGTTTCTTATTAATAATATTATTATTTTTTATTTTCGCCCTGACTAATTTCTTGGTGATTGTGTTCCATTGTAAACGCAAAAGGCCTGCTGTTATTAGTTTTAAAATGGAAAACAGGAAAGAAAGAACAAAAGACGGCTGTTGGTAAATATTGCAAAGTGGACATAGTACAGAGGCACATGGCTGATCCTTGTAAGCTGAACGGCACCGAAGAATTTCTACCCCTGTCATCGTTACGTTTGCTACACAGAAGCGGTGACAGAGGCTGCTCTGGGAGCCTCGAGGCTCGCCAAGTCTGCAAACCAGAGGAGGCTCCTGCCCTCTGCGCGTTCTTCCTATTCGAAGAGAAAGCTGCCACAAAGGGGTGACGACCGTGGTTGGCAGGTGGTCCCCTCCACGGCCACTGGCCAGCACGCTCAGAACGCACACACACAACAGGCCACACTTGCTGCCCACGCTCAGAGGCAGGGCTCAAAGTCTCCAGGGCACAGACCCCGAGGAGGGGCTGCCTGCAGAAAAGACCGTGGAAAATGGGTTGACTCCAGGCTACACGGCTCCAGAGTGTGTCTCAGAAATGAATCTGCCTTCCTTCCTCTCCACACTCCACGTTCACTATTCCATGTGGTGACAGGGGACACTGCGGCTCTTCCCCTATGTATCCTTGGCTGGCTCTGCAGCATGGCGACAGACACACGGGCTCCCGATGGCTCCCCGCCCCAGCACTCAGCATCCGCAGGAGGGGGAAGGCGGGAGGCTTCTTCCCTCCGGCCCTGCTCTTGTCAGAACCGGGCAGAGCAACCCAACAAGGAAAAAGCCAAAAGAGAATGAGCTTGAACTATAGAGCACACTGGTCAGACTCTATTGGCACAGAAAGTATTGCACATGCTAAAAAAGCAAGAGAATGAAATGGGACAAGGGTTTAGAAAGAACCAATTATTTTATAATTCCTATACCTGAAATAGAACCACGAAAATGATGATGATGTTCCTATTGCTCCAGACCACGTGTTTTCCCATTTTAGTGTTGGTTTAATGGATCCAGTCAGTTTGATACTCGAAGTAAGCCAAAAGGTGGTGGGTGTTTTTCCTTGTCCACACGAGTTGTAAATAGTGGTACTAATGAGAACAAAGTCTATGTGGCAGCCTGTATTCCTCTTACCATCAAAGGTTAAAAAACAAAAAGAGAAACAAAACCTAATAATTGCAAGTGCCCTGAGCAGAATATATGGAAGATTAAGCAAGTTCTCTGAACAGAAACGTTTAAAAAATACATACTAAATAAGCAGTATGACCGCAAGAATGAGCCCACCCAGCTCTTGCAAGCATGCTGAGAGGCTAATGAAATTCAAGGAAAGTTAAGGAACAATTCTAGCCATTCTAAACCTATTCATATGTTTTTGGTACACCCCAGAAAATGGTTTATACAAATTGTGGGAGCTAAATGTGAAGGAATACTAGATAGCCAAAATGTGGGTTGATCTCAGAATTTTTTTGTTTTTTAATTTGTGAAATGGAAGAAGCACTATTTTCACTGGTAAAAGAAAAATCAGATAAGTGTTCAGGTTAGTTGCAGTCATCTAAGTAAGAATATTTAAAAATTTCTCCCTACTTATAAAACTTTTTTTTTTTTTAAAGCACTTTGAGATGCACTCAAAACCCACAAATGATATTTCAGATCTCTGGGAATGAAAGGTTTAAACTATGAAATACCCTTTCTGGGTTTGTACCAAACATTAAATTTTGATTTGATTTCAGAAAGAAAAGAAAAGTCATTCTGAAAATAACATTAATAACAACAATAATAAAGTAATTAAAAAAACTTGCTCACATATAAATGTCTTTATGGAAAACTCTCTCAATGAATCTGAAGAAAATTCTCAGAGTTGTCCTGCTAAGACCTGGCTTTTTGTGACAGATGTGGTAAAAAGACCAAAATTAATTCTGAAAGGAACATAACCTTATAAAATGGCCTAGAGTTTAGGCAGGTTAGAAAGTAATTTTGCTACATTTATTTATGCCGTTCAGTCCCCCAAACCTTTCCCACAATGTTATTGGATAAAAACTGCAGGAATATCACACAAATTATAAACTCAAGATGTGCAAATCGCAAGGTTCTTTAAAAGTTCATCTTAAAAAGAAAAACACTGGACAAAAATGAGTATTCTTTTCTCCATCCCTTTTCTCTCAGTTTCTCTGCCAACTCTGCATATGCCTTGAACTCTTTCTCAGACATCAAAGTGAAAAGTGCCTCCTGTCAGGTAGTACTTGGTGGTCATTTATTGTCACATACTAGTTCATAATTCACATTCATCCCTTTAAGCCACATGGAAACTTTCAATATCTTGCTCTTGAGCAACTCTGCAGAGCTGAAATGTAGTTACAGTGTTGAAAAAAAGAAAGCAACTTAGTTTTTTTTTTCTTCCCAAAGAGTTTAAGGTGAGATACAGTACTTGTTGAATGACAGACCAAGATGCTTGGTAATAAAGTGTGAACAGTATTTTAAGTGCTTAGAGATAGTAATATATGCTCATCTTCAAAATCTAACTCCTCACATCACACTGGAATCTGAAAAAAGTGGCACCCGAGTTGTCCATAGTCATGAACTATAAACAGTACTAGAGTTAAAAGACAAAAAGATTTTGCAAACTCAACGCGAAGAGCTTCTGTTGCTCTCACTGAAGGGCAGTTTGCATCTACCTCTTGGGAGCGAAGTCAATGCAATAACCTGATTGGTTTTCCTAACACTGCACAGACACCAGCATGGGTGTTCACTCTCTCCCGCACCCCTGCCACCCCCCGCGTGGAGCCATGTGAGCAGGGAGGCCTCCCTGTCCACCATGACACCCTGGCGACATCACTGCACTATGAATAAAGCAGAAATGAAATCCCACATGTGGCAGTTGCTCTTAAAAAATATATATATCAGTGCAGTCAGGCCCCATAGGGGGAAATATATATCTATACGATTAAAAGTTGCTTTTATTGTAAAATATGTTGGAGAGAAAAATGTTCTTTTAAACGAAGCTATCTGCCCTCTGATGCCTCTCTACGATGCCCTGAAGCTGGATTCCTGATGTTGGTTTTACACGTGGGAACCCCAGGAGGACACAGCTCTGGACCCCCAATCCCATGCTGAGAGCAAGAGAGTGAGACAGACGGAGGCAGAGAAAAAGAGACCCTCACTCCCTGCCGTGGCGCCCGTGCACCCCCCCATGCACGCACCCCCGCACCCCTGCAGGTCCCTTCCCATAGAACTTTCTCTGGAAACTAGCAGGAGTCAGTGCCCACTGGATGCTTCTGTGCTGCTAGACAAGGCAGGCTCTGGGAAGCCACATTCGTCTTCCCCAGGAGGCCTGGAGCCTGGACCTCCCCTGCTCTGGCCTCCACCCACCTGCTCATAGACAGATGCTCGTGGGCAAAGCGTATGCACCAGTCTCCTGCGACACACCTGCTGTAACTCGAATGACAAGGTTAGAACAGAAACCTAAAATAAGAGGATAACATGTAAATACTGTGTTATTTAGCCTACAGTACAGTAATCTGGATACAAATGAAAAGGGAGAGCCACGTTTCCTTTCCCCCACTCTGCCTCTACTTGCCTACATTAGACCGGCCTTCAATGCAAATCTTAACCTCCTGAGGAATTAGAGAAGGCTTAGGAAGAGTCAAAGGTGGTTCGTCTTCTGACTTCTCCAGTTTGCGGGTCTCGGGCGCCGACCACCTCCTCTTCCTCGTCGCCAAGGGCTTGCTGGGTTCTATTTTGGCGAGGAAGGGTGCTGCAGGCAATCCTATTTTTTCTGGAAACTTCAGTTCACCATTCTCAGAGAGCATCTGGGCACTTCCCTGATTGATTCCGTTTTCCTGCTCGGCATACCTGTGTCTACTGCCCGCCAGGCCGTCGGTCTTTGAGTGCTTCAGCAGGACGCTGGCAGGATCCACGGGCTGGCCCTTTTTAACAGAGCCGTTCTTCAGGTTCTTGAGGGTAAGCGAGATGCAGACATCCCCAACTGAGAGTTTGGAACACGGCAAATCAAAGAGCTGGCTGGTTCTCTCTGGACAGCAGGAAGACCAGCCCTGTCCAAACACAAAAAAAGGATACTCTACCAAAACTTCAACGCTGACCTGTGGAAACAGGGAGAGACAGAGGGAGGCAGAAGGAAGGAAACAAAAACATTTTATTCTTGTTTTATTTTATATACAAGCACACACACACATACAGGTTGAATGAGGAAAAAAAACCCAACAGTTAAAAACCTCTTTCCCCAGCTACACACTACAGATGAGGCTCATAACTTTCTGTTATACCTGCACTTACCATGGATGGTGGGCAGAAGTCGGTGGAAGAAACTGTCTGGCGTAAAAGTCCATCAGTATTCAAAATATTCTACTGCGTGTTAGCTTTACTACAGCTGGGCTCTGTTCAAACCAGTCAGTTGGCCCCCAACAATGGCAAAACATCTGTTTAGCAGTCCGCACTGAGCTAGGCTCTGCAGCTGACTCAGAAGCCCAATACAGTCTTGCATTTTACTAGGTCACCGGACAACTGCTCTTGTCATGTAGGACAGAACTAAATACAGATGAGAGTAGCCTGTATGTGAGCTCCATGAGGCGGGCACAATGTGTTTATCGCTAAAAGGGTACTTGGCATATGACTGGAGCTTAATAAATATTTATTGGCTAAATGCACTCTAGGAATTCAGGGGGAACATAATCAGTAAGGGCTAGAGGAACCAGGGAAGGCTTTCCCAGGCCCCTGGAGCCATGATGAGCAGGATTTGGAGACGTTTGGGGGTGGGACACTGTTGGGGAGAAGGTAAGGCAGTCACAGACAGCTCCTGTGCTTGTCTATCCACAAGGCCAACCCCCAGGCATTCAGATTAGTCTCCGCATTTGTTTGAAAAGCAAATAACGAAAGCAGGTGAAACCCAGTATCCTCTCAACAGCTGCAATTTTCTCCATGCCACTTTGTGCCATGCACCAAGCTAAGGAAATCAGTCCTGGTCCCAAAGGAATTCACACTCAGGTGGGTAAAAGAGGCCCATGAACAAGAATTGACAATCCATGTGGCAGAGGAGATTACAGAGCTTGGCACAGCATGAAGTTATTGGAGGGCAGAGGAAAGGCAAACACCACTTTGGAGAAGAGGTGAGTAAGGAAGTCTTCTTGGATGAGCATACGCTTTGCTGAGTTTTAAAAAACAGTGTCGACAGAGTAGAGGTATGGTTGCAAGAAGACATTACTGGAAGAAGGGATGTGCAGACAAAGGCAAGGAGATGGTGTGTGCAGGGATCCTGTCCAAAGTCCTACTGTTGACATTAAGTTAGGGTGAAATGCACCTGAGGTTTTCTACAGTTTCATTTCCATGGGAATTGAGTTTTTTTCAAATAAATAAATAAATGTGTGTGTGTGTGTGTGTGTGTGTGTGTGTGTGTGTGTGTGTGTGTATTGAGAGAGAGAGAGAGAGAGAGAGAGAACAATGAAGTTGTTTTAAAAGTCAGTTTTCAATGACCCTTCTAGATGCAGTAGACTACATAATTTGGACCAACCCTTCTGCTGAAGACAACTAAAACCTCTGAAGAAAAATAACATTAGCAAATCAATAAAAAACTATGAACAAAACTTTAATAATAATTTTCTTTCTTATGGGACTCGACAGAAAATAAGATAGTAAAAAAAATTACTGGGTTGGATCAGGAAAGAATGATGACCCAGACAGTTGAAACTGGTGCTTGGGGCCTATTTTCTCCTTAGAGTCAAGTCTTAAGAGCACAGAGGACAGGGAATGGAGTTCAGGATACACCAAGAGGCGGGAGGTGCCGTCTGGTGAACCCCATTCTTTTGGGCTGTGACCTCAAAGCACTGTATCTTGGAAGTAAGTGTGAACCAGAAGCAGACAGGCCTTTCAAAGTATGAAGCTCAAGAGTTGTTTTTTGAGTTGGAGTCTCACTCTGTTGCCCAGACTGGAGTGCAGTGGCTGCTCCTGGTCACCGCAGCCTCGTCTGCTGGGCTCCAGGGATCCTTCCGCCTCAGCCTTCCAAGTAGCCGGAACTACAGGCGCACGCTACCACACCCGACTAATTTTTTTGATTTATTGTAGAGATGAGGTCTTGCCAAGTTGCTCAGGCGGGTCTCGAACCCGCGGGCTCAGGCATTCCACTCACCTCAGCCTCCCAAAGCGCAGGATTACAGGCTGAGCCACCGAACCCGGCTAAGCTCAGATTTTAATCATGTCAGTCTCTAATACTAGATTAAGGTCTTGATTTAGTTCTACAATTTTGCAAATAAAAGACAGTATTCAATTAAAATGGGGGGGGGGCATGAGGACACCAGATAACATGAATAAAAACTGGTAAAAATAACAGATAATAAAAACAAACCTATAGGAGTTTCTCATATATTGTTATCTGATATAGATTTTAAAATGACTATACTTACAGAGTTTAAGAAGATTTAAGACAAGCTTGAAGGTTTTGGTAGAGAATTAGGATTTAAAAGATCCATGTAAATTCTAGAATAAAAAAAATCAACTGAAATCAAGAATGCAATACATTTTCCAACTGAATAGACATGGTTTAAGAAAGAATTAGTGAACTCGATTCTCTTAGTAAAGCTTTAGAAGAAACTATACAGGATGGATATAGATACATAAAGATGGCTAACATAGAGAAGAGGGTAAGAGACATAGAAGCTATATTGAGAAGATCTAAAGACACATAATTTGAATCCTTGGAGGAGGAAGAGAGGGAGACAATAGGGCAGAAGTAATACCTGGGGAGGTAATGGCTAAGACTTTTCCCAAGCCGATGAGAGATAATTAGCTATAGATTCAAGAAGGCCTAACTCCAAGCAGGAAAAATAAAAATAAATGTTGCCTAGGCAGGTCATAGTTAAATTACTATAAGCCAAAGACAGGGAAACAGATCTTAAAAGTCTCCAGAACAAAATACTTCCAAAATAAGCAACAGTTAAACTCACAGTTTACGATCTCAACAAAAATAAAGGAAGCCAGGAGATAATGGAATATCCTTAAAGTGCTAAAGAAAAAAAAAGCCAATCAAGAAGCCTATATGGAGCAAAAAGATCCTTTAACAATGAAGGCAAAACAAATACATGTTCAGACAAACAGCAATCCAGAGAATCTACCACCAACAGATCTGCGCTAAGTTTGTAGATGCAGGAAGGAATGAAAAGAACTGAAAAAATGGTAGTAAAATGGGGAAATAAGAAAGGAATATTTGCTATATGCAATCATATTAAAATGTTCTGTTGATTTGACACATATGCATACACATAGAAACATATGAATAATTAAAATACCCCCCAAACTTAAAAAGTAATAAATTTTCATGTAATCTAGGTAGATTGTGGCTTTTATACTTAATCTTCTTTATCTTCTTTGATAACTCTGATTGATCTAGTCCTGATACACTTCTAGAATGACAGATTTTATTGAATGCATAGAAGACATGTGTTTTTAGAAGGGACAACGAGAGTGAATTTATACGAAAGCCTTTTTCAATTTGTGTGGGACCATGAGTCCAGGCATGTGTGTATTATTTGAGGGGCAGTCTCATAGTTCTGCATTATTTTAATAATGTGAAGAGAGCTAAAATTTTTTGAATGCCTACTCTGTCAGACATTCAGCTACAAAAATATTTTGTTTCATGTTCACAATGAACTAATGAGACAAGTACGGCTATTTCAGTTTTATGAACTTTACACTCACAGACTATTTGTCTGTGATGAAACCACTTGCCTAAATGTCATGGTTATTAGCTGATGTGACTGAGATTTAATCCTAGTCTTTGGCCCCCACATCCATTTTTTTCCCTATGCGTCCTGACCTCTACCCCCATGAACAAAGATACTATAATCCACAAAAAGAGACAAACTTACCATTTCCACTGTCCCCAAGAGGTGTGAATATTACTTGAAATAAGTAGGATCCAATAGCATGAATGCAAAGACTTGTTTCATGGTTAAGAAAATTGTGATATACCGTCTGCCTTACATCCACTCATACAATTCTAGTCACTCTGTACAAGTGTGTGACAAGACTGATGTTCAGTTTCAAAATGACATTTACATCACAAACACATATATATTTGCATATAGACAAGTACAAATAATCTTACAAGTTACAATATCAGATGAGGATGTCCACTGTATTCTAGGTGGGAGGACCAATCTGAAAATGACTCCCTAGATCCTCTCCCAAACCTCTTAGAGCCATGAGCACCACACACTGAGCAGAAGAAATAAATCCTACATCAAGTGAAGACTGTTCAGCTGCATCTTCAAGTCATTAAACAAAGATCTCAGGCGTTCATACCTCATAAGAATCTCTACCAGCTTCATTGTTTGCTTATTCCTGCCTAATACCTGCCAGAGGTAATGTGGCGATCATAACGCCACAAGCCCTAGTTCCAAGCACACCAGCCTCTTTTTTGGCTCTGTCTATGCCTGGATAATTCCCTGCCTCCTTCCTGGCAGGCAGCCTGGTACCCACCAGTGAGAGGTCCTTGGTGTGTGAGCCTTATTATATACACTTCTCAAGGCAGCCAATATTTCATTTTCTGAAAATAACATCTATTGTATACTCATAGACAAATCTATCTGAAGATTTTCATGTTGCCAAGTTTCTTTTTTCTTTTTCTTTTTTTTTTTTTGAGCTGGAGTCTCACTCTGTCGCCCAGACTGGAGCGGCCACCGCAGCCTCGACCCGCTGGGCTCTGGCGATCCTTCCGCCTCAGCCTTCCAAGTAGCCGGAATTACAGGCATGTGCTACCACGCCCGGCTGATTTTTTGATTTATTGTAGAGATGAGGTCTTGCCGCCCAGGCGGGTCTCGAACCCGCGGGCTCTGGCAATCCACTCACCTCAGCCTCCCAAAGGCGCAGGATTACAGGCTGAGCCACCGAGCCCGGCACCAAGTTTCTATAAACTCATTAAGATGTCTTCAAGGCCTTTATAACAGGTAATAGAACTGATTACTAACAGCTATGATACAGATGTTAATGCTTACCATTAAAGATACCATAACGTTGGACATTTTGAAAGTCTGTCATTACTCCCTTGTCTCAAAACTCCAAAGACAGACCTTAGAATTAAATGCTGTAGTGT